AAGGTTTGAAGAAAAATAAAGAAAGATATAAACTAGAAGCAGAAACATAAAAAGAACTATATAATAAAGCTAAGGATAAAAAAGAAAGGTATAAAACTTTATATAATGCGTGTATTACTAATCATAGTGATTATAATCAAATTAAAAAAGAATTAAAAAAAATTACTAAAAAATGTAATGATTATAAAAAAGATTTAAGAAAAAGTGAAAAAGAAAATTAATCTTGAAATTCAAAAAAATGTTCTTACAATTATTACTTTAGTGAAAAAATTTTTATCATATTTATTGAGACAAATAATCGCATAATTTGAAAAATTAGCAGAATCTGGTAACCAAAAAATGTATAATATGATTATTGAAAATGTAAATAAATTAGATATAGCAGCTTAGTTTTCTTTTATTTTTTTTTATTTTATCCTATTTTATTTTTATTTTTTTTATTTTTATTTTTTATTATTTTTATTTTATTTTTTAATTTTATTTTTTTTTAAATAAAAAAATATATAATACCTGTTTTGAATTTTTTAAAAAAAATAAATGTCTAATTTTCTTTTGTATATTATCTATTTAAATTTTAATATTTGCTGCTTTTTAATAATAATCTCGCTTTGTACACTTCTTTATAAATCTAACGAATTAGTTGAAATACTTTTGACCTTAAAACAACTTTTGATATTTGTAACAACAAATATCAAACTTATAATCTTGAAACTTGTTTGCTTATTGGATAATTAAAACTGGTGCTAAAACAAAATTAACAAAAAAAATAAATCAAAAACAGCAAGCAAAACACCAAAAAAATAACCAAACTATCTAAAAAAAAACAACACAAAAAAAGAAAATACAAGTTAAATTTGGTTCTTGTTGTAGTAAAAATATATTATAGATAAGTAAAAAAAGAAAACTTAATAGTGGAAAAGTATATGCTATTGGTTCATGTACTAGTGTTGGTGATGAAAATACTTTTAACACATGTGGAGAGAAAAGACCTGAAGGATCAAAAGTTAATAAAATAAACTTTGAACCAACTCTAAAAAATGATAGATTATTTTATAATAATATAGTATATAAATATATAAATTTATGAAGATTATTTCAAGAAGATGAAAATAAATCTAGATTTGGTAAATTGGTCTTATCAGATATTTTAATTTATTTAGTTTTCACATCAGTTCATACTAGACAAATTGGAAATTTAATTGGAATTGCGCCATGGGCTATATTACCAAGAAATGCAGATGGAGAAAATTTAGATAATGAACAATTACTTGTTAATCATTATAAAATTCCTGTTGCTAGAGAAAAAACTTTATTAACACCTTTACTTCAAAAGATAGAATTACATTTTTATCTAGTAAGAATTTGTGATAAAGATTTAGCAAAAAAAACACAGAATGATATAACTCCTAAAGAAATTCTTGTTAATATGAACAAACTAGATAAACCAGAATTAAAAGATCATTTTCAAATTTTAGCAGAATATTATAGGGAAATTGATTGTAAAGAAACAGGATGTTTATTGAAAGATACAAATATTTATATGTATTATTAATTTGGTAAAGATGAGCAAAAAATATGTATGCTTCCTGTAGAAGAAGATATAGATAGTATTATTTTTGATACAGCAAATTTTGCACTAATCATAGTAGTTGATTATATGCCTAGATTTTATAAAATAAGAAGACTTCGTAATAAATTACCAAATAATGATTCTAGATATCTTACATCTATTAATAGTACTTTTTTGGATATACAATTTTCATTAGATGCTAGACAAACAGGTTTACCAGTATATATTAGTGATAGACAAATTGAAATCGCATATAGATATGATGCTAATATTGAAAATACATATGAAATAGCAAATATAATTGCATAACAACTAATACAAGCTCAAAATGGTAGTGGTAGTGGAGCACCAATAGAAGAAGATCAAAATGATGATGATCTTTAATTTTTTTTAAATAATATAAATATCAAATGTTTTCTTATTTTTTTTTTAATTTATTTTTTAACAAAATGTCTTGTATATACAAATTTAATAATAATAAAAAATTTGAATCTTGTTGTTATCATTATCCTAATTCAACAAGTAATAATAATAAAGAAAATAATGGTGAAACAAATATTGCTTATATATAGTAATTGAACAAGCATTAGTACAATATTATTCATTAATCCAACAAAATCAACAAGAACAAGAAAAAAATCCAGAAGAAGAAGTAGAACTAGAAGAAGAACCAGAAAATGATCAACTCTTTGGAGACAAAAATTTTTGACTTGAATATAATCAATTAAAAAAAGAAATTAAAGAAACCCAAAGATCTGATACAATAAAATTGATTGATAATGAAAATTTGGATAAAAAAATAAACAATTCAAAATTATCACCAAATTTAATTAATGATTTACAAAAACTGAAAATATCAAGGTTGAATAAATTACGTCTTGAACAATATAGTTATTATACTGATTTAAAAAATAAAACAGAAGAAATTTTAACTTTGAATAATTTATTCGATACTATCAATAATGATAAAGTTTTAACAGCTCTGCAAATATCAATTTATTAAAAAGTATAAATGATAAAATTTTTAAAATTAATCAAAAACAAGAATATGATTCAATCAAAAATGGAATAATTAAAGAAAAAGACTCAACATAATTAGAAAATATTTGGAAAGATACTATTGATAATGCTAAATACCTTGATGATAAACAAAAATATGAATTACACAAACTTAGAAATACCCAAAAATAGGAAATTCAAGGTTCAAAAAAATTTGAACAATATAAATCAGAAATTAAAAATGAAGCATTTATTTCAAATTTACTTGATAGAAAATCATTTGATATTTTAATAACAAATGATTCTTTGTTAACAGAACAACAAAAAAATCAACTTCATATATTAAGAAAACAAAGAATTCAAATCTTAACAGATAAAGTATTTGATGAGCTTAAAAATAATATAAAAAATGAAAAAATTTCAAGTAAACAAGAAGATAAAAGATGCTATAATAATAGAATTAGTAAGATTCGTGAAGAATTTTTAACAAATAATCGAAAATTAAAAGATCTATATATTCTTAGAAGATAGAAATTAGATACAATACAAAGTGAAACTGAAGATGAAATATATGATATCACTTCTAATTTAATTGATGATTTTCAAGATTTAAATAAACTTAATGATAGTTCAGAACTTGCCAAAGATATTTTAAAATTCAATCAAATATTACTTACTGGAGATAGAAAGATCAATAATTTAATGACTAAAAGAAAACAAATTTATAGTAATAAATTATATGATAATTTTGTTGTATCAATAAATATTGAGACAAATATTGAAGGATTACAAAATGAATAGAAAATAAAAATTGATACTAGAAATTGAAAAAGAATATCTTTTACAATCTAGAACAATAGAAAATTTACATAAAATATGAGAAGAAAGGATAGCATCATTAAGACAGCCACCTTCATCTAAACGACCAGCAGAAGATAAAAATGAAGATAATATTTATTTATCTACAAGAATAATTGATAATGCAAAACTACAAAGAAATTATAATAGAAATGAAATTGCTCAAATTTCATAGATTGTTGATGAATATAAAAAAACTTTAAACAGAGATGATAAAAGAAAATTTACTTCAAGAGCTAAAACAAATCATGTTAAAGATTTAATAAAAGATTCTTATACAAAAAGTAAAGATGGAAAAACTTTACTAGATGTTCTCTATTATATTTGGGTTTTAGAAAAAGATAAAAAATTTCTATTAACTAGATATACTACTAAAAAAAATTAAAGAAGCTAAATTTTTGACAAATAATATTAATAATTATATTTGGATATTAACAAAAAAAACAAAAACTGAATGAAGAAGATTGGAAAAAGATCTAAATTATAAAAATCTGAAAGATTATCCTTTATTAATAATATCAGGAAGATTTTTTTTACAAAATCCTTTAGGATTCCCTAAAGAAAAAGTTAATAATATTGTAAATATTAATCAAATAATAAAACAATATCAAATATCTTTATCAGATAAACTTTCAATTATACCACAAAATATAGATAAAATTCAAAAAGCATTGCTTGAAGGAATTAATAAATATTATAATGATGATGATAAAAAAATATATTTAACTAAAGTTTTTAAATTTTTAGTTACAAGAGAATTTGATATTGATATGATGATAAATTAAATAATATATTTAGTTTTAATTTTTTATTTTAAATAGGCATACATATTACATTAAATTTAAAATTGTAATTCATATATCCAATAATAAATATTAAAATTATTATATTATAAATAAATATTTTATAAATTCTAAATATTCTAGTTGATTGTAAAAAAGCTACAGTATATGCATAATATTCTGAATATTTATAAAAAGTTTTTTTAATTTTATTCTGCAAAAAAATTTTTAATTAATTTAATACTAAATTATTTTCAATTATTAAACATAAATTTGATCAATATATTGATCTATAAAATTTTTAAATTTTTTTTTAGATTCTTCAAAACTTAAATTTTTATAATAATTAAGATTTATTATAATTGTTTCAATAATACCAAATAATGAATTTATATCATCATCTTTATTTTTAAGAGCTTCATTAAAATTATCACGTAATTCATGAACTGTTTCTTTTAAAAGTTTAAATGCTGCTTCAAAATCATCTGTACTACATGAATCTTTTATATGCTGAAGTTTTTCTTGTAAAATTTCATCCATTTTTATTTTTTAAAAATGTAAAACAATTTAATCTTTATATTTATATAAATTAAAACAATAAAAAATATATAAATATAACTTTTTACATAAAATATTATAATAAAAATGTTAATTCAAAACTTATTAATTTTATTTTTATTAATTAATCAAACATTTGTATTTTCTTGCAGATGTTATAATAAAAAATAGAATAGAACAAAATTTCAAAAAAAGAAGCAAAATTAATTTGGAATCTAGTATTTTACCCCAAAGATATCATGAAATTGATTCAATTATCAAAAAAATTTCACTCAAAAATTATCAAAATTTAACATCATTAGATCCTTCAAGAAAAATTTATAATCTAATAGAACAGTCAAATTTAAAATTAAAACTAAAAATAAAACTTCATAATCTTCGTGCAAGTAAATATTTCTATTTTCTTTTTATTATTTTAATTGATTGAGTAAAAGATTTTAATTTAGCTAATAAAATAAAAGAAAAAATTAAACAACATGAAGTTTTAAATAAAAAAGATAAAAAAAATTAATCAATAAATTAAATTTAATAATGTATAAATTCATACAGGAAGATTATTAATTTAAAAAAATAAAATATAAAAAATTATATTTAAAATAAAAAATTATATTTAAATAAAATATTATAATAGTTTTTTTGCGCTTCAAAGCTACGCAAGCTCTTTTGCGCAAAATCGCAAGTGATTTTGTTGATGTTTATAAATCTAATTTCCTATAGTAGATGTGGGTGTTTGAATCGTGTGTTTTTACATTGATTTGAGGTTTCCAAATCATTAATTTCATCATCGATGAAATCGTTGATATAGTTTGGCACCTTGCCTCACACTTAAATCATTGTAGCAAACATACTCAATATTAATTTGTAACAACTTATTAACATTTAAAATAATTTTTTATTGATTTTTTAACTTTTTCAATAGGTTGAAAATTAAAATCGGGTGTGGCGACTTAGTGAAGTGGTGAAGTTGTCGCACCCCCAAGCGGTTGAGTACAAGTTCAATTTCCACTGGAGA